GCCATAAATTATATCCGAAACAAAATTTGTTGAAGCAAGAACTTGAGCAACAATTTCCAACGGCGTGGGTTACCTCTGATCTCTGTGGGGGTGAGAAGGTCCTAAGTGAAGGACGAAGCAGCCATAGTGGATCCATGACCAGAGATGGCATCCTGTAGATGCCAAACCATAGAATATAGGGCATGTTTGCTAAAAGACCGCAACACCTCCGATAGCTCAATTAGGTCGGCTGACGGTAAACAACAATTAAAACTAAAAATGCGCATCAAAGATAAATCGAAAAAATGCGCAGCAAAAACAAAAAGCATGCACATATATATATATATACATATATATATATATATATATATATATATATATATATATATATACATATATATCATTATGAGTGCCCAGATCTTGTTGGAGGTGCTGTGTCTAGGCAAAAAAAAGGTCAACACCTAACTGTAACTTCTTTATATGATTAAAAAAAATCTGCAGATATACATTTGTTAAGCAATAGGAGCCGGCGTACCCATGTGTCTTGAGACTAACCATGATGTAAATTAATTAGCAAACTATTATTCTAATAACCCGATTCACTCCCACCATCATAACATGTTTTGAATCATATGAAAGGAGATTTAGTCTCATGATGTATTCATGTGGAGTTTACCTCAAGGATCTGTGACTGAAACTGGTTCAGACAAACACACAAACACCTTGTGTGCAAAAAATAACTGAGAACATCCACAAGCACATGAGCGTCCAAATTTGAGGTGAAAGTGGTGCAGAGGGGACGGCTAGGTCGCCAGCAAGTGCAACGACGACCAGCTCGCGGTGGCTTTGGTCGAGCGGCGAACGCAAGCCCTCCCGAGCGGCACACAGCGAGGAGCTCGGGCACGCGGGAGAGAGGAGGAGCTCGGGCACGCGGGAGAGAGGAGGAGCTCGGGCACGCGGGGAAGATGAGGAGCTAAGGTGGAACGGTGGTGCAGGGTGCTTGATTGCCGGCGTCGGCGGCGGCCGGCGCGTCACCGGATCGAGCGCCGCACGGGCCGCGTGCCTCCTGGCGGCTGGGATCAGGAGGCGTGGGAGAGAGGAGAGCTCGTGCAGTCGTGCTCGTGTCTGTTTTTTTTATTTACAACCCCGGACGAAACGTTTTTTTCACTTAAAACAGGGACTGCGGGTTGATTTCTTAGAAAGAGAGGGACTTTTATGAAAAATTGCTGACGTACGACCAGAAGCAATAAGCGCTTTATTAGTAGGAGGAAGGAAAAGATTGGACAGACGTTTAACTTGCACATGAACCATGTAAAATGCAAAAATACTAATACCAGCTTAATAAAATGACTCCGTGGTGTCCTACATGGCAAACCAAAGATCATGCTTGGTACTACCTTAGGTAGCAACTAATAAGCTAAAAGAAGGGGAACTTAATAGAGGTGTTGAACCGCATATAATACATGCTGCCCTTGATAATGGATCAATCTACTCTTCCTAAATTAAACAATAGTGAAATTCCAGTAGCCTAAAGGCCTGATTTGCACATATACAATATGAGATCATATGATCAAGAACAGTAGCCATGTTCAATATAAAAAACCTAGAACCTGCACTACATATATTAACCATTGTAGCTTCATCTAGTAAAATTAGAACAATATCAGATCTTATTATCAAGAACAGCAGCCCTGTTCGATGGAAGGCAACCTATTCAGGTCGAAAAGACATGGGGAAATAGCAAAATGGATGCTACCTCGCACGTGACACTACTTTTTGATATAGCAGCACTGATTACAACGAACATGATTTATTAAGTGAATAAAAGCTATTTTCACCTAAAAATTAACTTGCATTATTTTTAAGAGAAAAGCCTAAGAGTTATAAATTAAAAAAGTAGAACCATCCAAATTATTGATTTATAAACTGTCAGATGCATCCAGTCAAGTACTTTAAGAGAAAGGCAAATAGCAATAAACTAAAGTAGACCCCCGCCTCCTAAAAAAGAGCTTCAATAAACTTAAACTGTCATCCTATCAACTAATCTATACAGACGAGAACCTTCCGAAATGTCTGCCTCTCATCCAAGATCATGATGATATTAAGACCTTCACCAAAAGGAAGTAAGTTCATCAGTTGTGACCTATAACACATATATTTCAAAATCAAAACCAAAAGGAAGTAACTTCATGAGTTGTGACCTATGAGCTATATATCTCAATAGCAGCTGAAAAGAAGTCAATCTCTGAAGGTTCTTGCCATATGTATCCCGGCTAGACATCTTTGCTTCGAGCAAATATTTTAGTGCTTTCATGTTTATGCATCTCAAATTCTTTCCATTTGCATTACTTCTTCTGCTAGTTAATAGAAACACCGAACTAAAATACATTTGGAAAGGTCTACAGAGATCTCAGGAGAAATTGAATGATATTAGCAAAAAAAGTTATACATAGAGGAGGCACCTATTTGTCACATGCAATTCTTATTACATCTAGTCCTTCATCCAGCGCAGCAAGATGGATCCATATCCATAATTGGCATTGTAATGAACTGTGGTTTCTTTCAAAAAATTAGTCTGAGAATTGGACAAATATGCTTCTGTGTACAACAGAAAGGTTGAGCGCGGGGGGCATCGAGTTACCACGGCCTCCAAAACAGGTATAACAACAGAAACAACCGTACACATCCTGCTCACACGCATACACGAAATATAAGCAACATGAGAATGAACAACACACAACACCCGACCATATCCGGAACATTTAATGATCAGCATGACATACAGATATTTAAAAGATCACCAAGGCAGACAGCATGCCACATAAGATACTGAAAGTAAAACACGCACACATGTAGTAGAAAGAAAAGAAGAAAACCTTGATGAGTCTAAAAATGCATCGACAGAAGAGATAATACAACATGTGAAATACAAAAAACGGTCAGAGCACAACGATACACAGGCATGCAATGAACACTCGCCGGTCACAGAAGCAACAGAACGGCCTATTTACTCAAGGCAGCAAGCAGAAGCACGTTGGGTAAGCAGTAGGACGGACGAGAAGAAGAAGCGCCAGCGACAGGAGAAGTAGTTTGAATCATAGAACAAGCGTCAGCACACACGCATTTCATCAAACATTCTATCTTTTAGGCAAGCATGAGAGGAGTGGACTAACCTCAATGAGGAGAAACAGACACAAGACTCGCCGCAAGCGACAACAGGAAACCGTACCAAACTGCACATGAACAAAATGAAGGCAAACATACGAAATTAGCACGACGAATCCAAAGCAGAGGCGAAGAACATGCGAACCAGAGAAGGAAGAACCTCAACCAGTGGCAACCATCGAGTAGAGGAGGCCCATCGGAAGAGAGCATGGGGCTGCCGCATCTTGGCTACCATGCGACACGACGAGGCAAAATATCCTAGACCATCTCTCCTTTCTTGTCATAGTTTTTCGATCATCTTCTAGATGAATAACACAATTAGCACATCAAACAAGAAAATAAGAGAAACGATGAACATCGCATGGAAAAAATAGGAACGATGAACATCACCTTGAGACGAGGTAGATCGATTGGGCTTCTGTCCTCGACCGCCAACGGCATGGTCAGAGGCCGATTCTTCTCCTCTTCCATCCGTTCTCCTCCCAGCCGGCGGCGGCAGCACGGAGATCCTTGTCGACCGCGCGCATGGCACGGCACAGCTCGTCTTGGCGGGAGGCGGCGGGGCCGAGGCCGGCGGCGGCCGCCTGGACGAGGCCCTCGGCTTGGTCACAGGAGTCGCTGAAGATGTCGAGGCAGTGATGGAGGTCCGTGAGCGGCACCGTGCGGAAGTGGATCCTCTAACATCCTGAAGGAATGCCACGAAGCTACAGTGACATGTGTATGTAAAACGAAGAAGAGATGTCACGAGCTACAGTGAAATACTGTAGCAATCACTGTGTGGATTTACTGTAGCATGTACAAAAAAACAAAAAATAATTTTGTTGCACCATAATTTGTTTGTATGTAATTTTTGTAAATGTATACAATAGATTTGTAATTTGCAAATTAATTATAATTATTTTAGGCTTAACCATATGAATGCGAAGAAGGGATGTCACGGTTACTGTAGCTTACGTGACATCCCTTCAGGATGTTAGAGGATCCGCTTCCGCACCGTGCACCCGGGCATGCGGAGGGCGGCGGCCGCGGTGTCGACCATCGCGTTGTAGGCGCCAGTCCATTTCTCTCTCTCCAACTGCCACGACGTCGATGGAGGTGAGGCACGCATTATGCATCGGCCCCACACGCACATGCATCGGGCAGCTGCAGTCCATTTTCTCTCTCCAAAGTCCAAATGCGGAGAAGACGCAACACCACGCACAGAAAAGGTGTACACGTGCACTATACACGGGAGTAGCAGCCCATGAGTGGGACCAGAGCAGGGCCGGCCCACCCATCATCGTGCTAGTACCCACCCCCTCTGTAGCTGACGTAGGATGCAATAACTCCCCATGACGCACGATGCAGGAAGCGCGTGAGAAGCACCACGCTAGGAGCGGTTGACCGAGGAAATCAGAAGAGGTAATAGCACCCAGGTACCCTAACTTGCACCCAATGTGATGATCTAGTCCCAAACTTGCAAAACTAGACCAACTCATACCCCAACTTGCAACCAATGTGATGTTTTAGTCTCAGGCCAATCACAGCTCGCCAATTGGCTGCCAAGTGGCCGGGCCGGTCAGCGCCTGTAGTTTTGCACAAACCCCCCTGCCGTTTCACTCATTCAACCCGCAGTTACCCCCACCTGAATTAAATCTGTCCCAAATTTTAACTCGCGACAAACCTAATCAGGCGCCATCAAATTTTGTTATTTCATTTAAACTCGAGTTGCGCTGGCCTTGCTCTCCCTTAAGGCCTCCCTCAGCTGCCGCCCCCACGTGCTGCGCTCGTGGCTGCCGGGCAATGTCGCCTCCGTGTGCGAGTGGACCGGCGTCCGCTGCGCCGACGGCAGGGTCGTCTCCGTCGACATCGCCAACATGAACGTGTCCACTGGCGCGCCCGTCACGGCCGAGGTGACTGGGCTCGCCGCGCTCGCGAGCCTCTCTCTCGCCGGGAACGGCATCGTGGGCGCGGTGGCCGTGTCCGCGCTCCCGGAGCTCCGCTACGTCAATGTTTCCGGAAACCAGCTCGGCGGCGGCCTCGACGGCTGGGACTTCCCGTCGCTCCCCAGCCTCGAGGTGTTCGACGCCTACGACAACAACTTCTCCTCCTCGCTCCCGGCCGGCGTGACGGCGCTGCCGCGGCTCCGATACCTTGACCTCGGCGGCAATTACTTCTCCGGGGTGATACCCGCGTCGTACGGCGGGATGCTGGCTCTGGAGTACCTGTCCCTCAACGGCAACAACCTGCAGGGCGCCATCCCGCCGGAGCTCGGCAACCTGACGAGCCTCAGGGAGCTGTATCTCGGGTACTACAACGCATTCGACGGCGGCATCCCGCCGGAGCTCGGCCGGCTGCGCAACCTCACCATGCTGGACGTCTCCAACTGCGGCCTCACCGGGAGCATCCCGTCGGAGCTGGGCGAGCTGGCCTCCCTCGACACGCTGTTCCTCCACACGAACCAGCTGACCGGCGAAATCCCGCCGGAGCTCGGCAACCTCACGGCGCTCACCAGGCTGGACCTGTCCAACAACGCGCTCACCGGCGAGGTGCCGAGCACCCTGGCGTCCCTCACCTCGCTCCGGCTGCTCAACCTGTTCCTCAACCGGCTCCACGGCCCGGTCCCCGACTTCGTCGCTGCGATGCCGCGGCTGGAGACGCTGCAGCTCTTCATGAACAACTTGACCGGCCGCGTCCCGGCGGGCCTCGGCGCCAGCGCGGCGCTCCGGCTCGTCGACCTATCGTCGAACCGGCTCACCGGCATGATCCCCGAGATGCTGTGCTCCTCCGGCGAGCTGCACACCGCCATCCTCATGAACAACTTCCTCTTCGGCCCCATCCCCGGGGCGCTCGGCTCGTGCGCGAGCCTCACCCGGGTCCGGTTCGGCCACAACTACCTCAACGGCAGCATTCCCGCCGGCTTCCTCTACCTCCCGCGGCTCAACCTGCTGGAGCTGCAGAACAACCTGCTCTCCGGTCCGGTCCCGTCGAACCCGAGCCCGACCCTGACCGGTTCGGAGTCGCAGCTGGCCCAGCTCAACCTGTCCAACAACCTGCTGTCCGGGCCGCTGCCTGCCGCGCTGGCCAACCTCTCCGCTCTGCAGACGCTGCTGGTCAGCAACAACTGTCTCGCCGGCGCCGTGCCGCCGGAGGTAGGGGAGCTCCGGCTGCTCGTGAAGCTCGACCTCAGCGGCAATGAGTTGTCCAGGCCGATACCGGAGGCCATCGGCCGGTGCGGACAGCTCACGTACATTGACCTCAGCACCAACAAGCTGTCTGGGCCAATCCCGGAGGCCATCGCCGGGATACGGGTGCTGAATTACCTCAACCTGTCGAGGAACCAGCTCGAGGAGTCGATCCCCGCCGCGATCGGGGCGATGAGCAGCCTCACGGCGGCCGACTTCTCCTACAACGACCTGTCCGGCCAGCTGCCAGACACGGGCCAGCTGCGGTACCTGAACGAGACGACGTTCGCGGGCAACCCGAGGCTGTGCGGGCCGGTGCTGAACCGGCCCTGCAACATCAGCAGCGACGCCGGCGGGTCGACGGCCGTGAGCCCGCGGCGGGCGACGGCGGGGGACTACAAGCTGGTGTTCGCGCTGGGTCTGCTGGCGTGCTCGGTGATCTTCGCCGCGGCGGCCGTGCTGCGCGCTCGGTCGTACCCCGGCGGCGGGCCGGACGGCGCGTGGCGGTTCACGGCGTTCCACAAGGTGGACTTCGGCATCGCGGAGGTGATCGAGTGCATGAAGGACGGCAACATGGTGGGCCGTGGCGGCGCCGGCGTGGTGTACACGGGACGAGCCCGGTCGGGCGGCGCGATCGCCGTGAAGCGTCTGAACGGCGGCGGGCGGCACGACCACGGGTTCCGCACGGAGATCCGGACGCTGGGCAGCATCTGACACCGGAACATCGTGCGGCTGCTAGCCTTCTGTACCAACGACCAGGAGGCGAACGTGCTGGTGTACGAGTACATGGGCGGCGGCAGCCTCGGCGAGGTGCTCCACGGCAAGGGCGGCGGGTTCCTGGCGTGGGACCGGCGGTACCGGATCGCGCTGGAGGCGGCGCACGGGCTCTGCTACCTGCACCACGACTGCAGCCCGATGATCGTGCACCGGGACGTCAAGTCCAACAACATCCTCCTCGGCGACGGCCTGGAGGCCCACGTGGCGGACTTCGGGCTGGCCAAGTTCCTCCGCTCCGGCGCCGGCGCCGGCGCAGCCAACGCCGGCGCGTCCGAGTGCATGTCCGCCATCGCCGGGTCCTACGGCTACATCGCGCCAGGTACGTACGAACACGTCTCGTTACATACACATGTGCTGGTGAGGGGTCAATCAGATTTGGTTTAGGATCCATCGGTTTTCCGAGCTCGTCTGCTTGTCGCCGCCTTGCACGGGGCTGGCCCCCGTCTCTGGGCCATGGGACCCGCTCTTCCGAAGTCAATAGCCAGTGGTGGTACTGCGCCAGGACAAGTGAGCGCCTGATTAGGTTTGTCGCGAGTTAAAATTTTGTTATTTCAGGTGGGGGTAACTGCGGGTTGAATGAGTGAAACGGCAGGGGGGTTTGTGCAAAACTACAGGCGCTGACCGGCCCGGCCACTTGGCAGCCAATTGGCGAGCTGTGATTGGCCTGGGACTAAAACATCACATTGGTTGCAAGTTGGGGTATGAGTTGGTCTAGTTTTGCAAGTTTGGGACTAGATCATCACATTGGGTGCAAGTTAGGGTACCTGGGGTGCTATTACCTCAAATCAGAAAATACCCTATACATGAGACGTGCCCAGCCATCGCAGCTGATGAGCGGGACAGGGAGCAGCACTGGACCACCTGTCATTACAAAACACAAGCGCGGGCGCAAAAGCCAGTTGCACATGCGCCGACTAACACTTCCGCGGCTCCCGAGGACGCAAAGCGCGCCCATGCGGCGCGGTTGGTTTGGCTGCCCCACGGACCCAACAAACTGGCACCCAGCCAATCGAATCCATCGCAAGCCCACAGGTCATCCAACGCCCAAGATCTACTGCCCGGTCAAAACGCACAAGTCAATCTGCAGCGAACATCCAACGGACAGGAATGAGAAAAAGACCACGTTGACCCAAAATGAACGGCTAGCGAAGGATGAATCCGGGGGAGCGCCCTGGGAGCGAGTTGCCCAGCCTCATTATTGGTTTAAATAATTTGGGAGGCGAAACATTAAGCCCATATCTTTCTCTTTGTTCGATGGATGCTATTTGTTCTAAAAATATGCTTTGAGTGTCAGCAATCATGGAAGACTCTATGATAGTTGAGTATGTGGAATTTGCTAAATCAAAGCTCTTACATAGACCCATCCTGAAAATATGATGAATTGCAATTGTTTGATGACTGAGAACATAGTTTGTTAGTTTTTAAGAAAGTTTATGGTCTACACTTTAACATGTGAATAGCTTGCTACTTGATCATGAGAAGTTTTATGAGATGAGCTACTGTTTATGATATATAATCATGCTAGAAAAAAGTGATTGGAATTATCATTGACCAAACTTGTGCACTTGCTAGCATTCACACTTCATAAATTATTTCTTTTATCATTTACCTACTTGAGGATGAGCAGGAATTAAGCTTGGGGATGCTGGTACGTCTCCAACATATCTATAGTTTATGGAGTATTCATGCCATGTTTGCAATAATTTCATATGGCTTTGGTATGCTTTGATAAGAACTAACCCGGACTAGCGTTGTTTTCAGTAGAACTACTGTGGTGTCGTTTTTTGTGCAGAAATAAAAGTTCTCGGAATGGGTCGAAAATTTATGATGATTTTTTGTGGACCAAAAGAGACCCCCGAAACTTCGTGGGAGAACCAGAAGGCCCACGAGGGCACGACAAGCTCGCTAGGCGCACCCTACCCCTCGGGACGGGCGACCGAGCTTGTCGTTGCCTCGTGGACCCCCTTGACGTGAGACCGACGACAAAAAAATACTATAAATACCCAAACCCCCAGAAAGAACCCTAGATGGGAAGTTTTGCCGCCGCAAGCGTCTGTATCCATGAAAACCCAATCGGGACCCTGTTCGGCACCCTGCCGGAGGGGGAAATCATCACCGGAGGCCATCTTAATCATCCTGGCGGCCACTATGATAAGGAGGGAGTAGTCCACCCTTGGGGCTGAGGGTATGTACTAGTAGCTATGTGTTTGCTCTCTCTCTCTCTCTCTCTCTCTCTCTTGTTCTTGATTTGGCACGATCTTGATGTACCGTGAGCTTTGTTAATATAGTTGGATCTTACGAAGTTCTTCCGTCTCTACCTTCTTGTTGTGAATTGAGTTTTACCGATTTCGTTATTATCAGATTGAATAATTTTATGGATTTGAGAACACTTGATGTATGTCTGATGTCTACTATACACAACTTGTTCTTATAGACTCGTGTTGGGCCTCCAAACGCAAAGTTTTGTAGGATGATACGTCTCCAACGTATCTATAATTTTTGCTTGTTCCATGCTGTTATATTATCATTCTTGGATGTTTTACAATCATTTATAGCAACTTTATATCATTTTTTGGGACTAACCTATTGGCATAGTGCCCAGTGCCAATTGTTGTTTTTTTGATTTTTTTACTTCGCAGAATATCAGTACTAAACGAAGTCCAAACGCAACAAAACTTTTTGAACATTCTTTCTGGACAAGAAGACATCATATGGGCCAAGAAAGTACCAGAGGGGAGGCCCATGGTGGGCACAACCTACCAGGGCGTGCCCAGGGGGGTTGTGCCCCTCATGGAGACCCCCTGCACCGCCTCTTCACCCTATAAATTCCGAAATATTCCAGAAACCCCAGGCGAGTTGATGAAACACAATTCCAGCCGCCGCAAGTTCTAGAACCACGATATCCAATCTAACACCATCACGGAGGGGTTCATCATTCTCATTGGTGCCTCTCCAGTGATGTGTGAGTAGTCCACCATAGACCTAAGGGTCCGTAGGTAGTAGCTAGATGGCTTCCTCTCTCTCTCTTTTGATTATCAATACAATGGTCTCTTGGAGATCTATCTGATGTAACTCTTTTTGCGGTGTTTTTGTTGCGATCCGATGAGCTTTGAGTTTATGCTCAGATCTATATCCATGAATATTATTTGAGTCTTCTTTTGATCTCTTATATGCATGATTATTTATAGCCTTGTATTTCTTCTTCGAATCTTTGGTTTAGTTAGGCCAACAAGATCGATTTTTCTTGCCATGGGAAGAGGTGCTTTGTGATGGCTTCGATCTTGCGATGTTCTTTCCAAGTGACAGAAGGGGCAACAAGACACACATGTATCGTTGCTATTAAGGATAACAAGATGGGGGCTATTCCTACATGAATAGATCTCATCTACATCATGTCATCATTCTCGTCTACATGAATAGGTTCCAAAGGTTAATTATGAAATGTATTCATAAAAACCAGTATGATTTCATAAAAAGTAGAACAATTCAAGATTGTATCGGTTGGTACCTTGAGTACTTGCATCAGTGTCACCAATCAAAGAGGCCAATTGTTATCCTTAAATTGTATTTTGAGAAGGCCTTTGATTCCATTGAACATGAAGCTATTTTGCAGATCTTGAAGTATAAAGGATTCAATGAGAAATGGATTTCTTGGGTCAAGCAGTTGCTCTCCACTTGAACATCTTCAGTTCTCTTGAATGGAGTACCAAGTAGACAATTCCTTTGTAAAAAGGGTGTTAGGCAGGGAGATTGCCTCTCACCCTTGCTCTTTGTTATTGTTGTTGACTTACTTCAGTCAGTAGTAAATTATATGTTCAGAAAGGGCATTCTTCAGTTGCCTATTCCATGCCATGATCAAGATTATCCCATAGGTCAATATGAAGATACTCTCATTATTCTGCCAGTAGACAAAACCCAGTTGCTTGATTTAAAAGATATGCTTCATGTTTTCTCCACCTCAACTGGTCTAGTGGTTAACTATCACAAATCTTCCATGGTGCCCATTAATGTTGATGAGGATACAACCACTAGTTTGGCTACTGCTTTTGGATGTCAAGTTGGCAAAATGCCCTTCACATATCGAGGGTTGCCTGTGGGTACTACTAGTCCCAAAATGGTTGACTTCATGCCTCTTGTTGATTTCATGGAGAGAAGAATGACAGCAAGCTCTTCCTTCCTTAATCGGGGTGAAATACTTCAGTTTTTTAATTATGCTCTGTCATCCATGCCCATTTTTTATCTTGGCAGTCTTCTAGTTCCTCCTAGGATTTTAAAGCAATTGGAGAGAATCCAAAGGCAATGCTTATGGAGAAAGCATAGAGATGAGCCCTCCCCATCTTTGGCAGCATGGGACCTAATTTGTAGGCCCAAAAGCAAAGGGGGGTTGGTTGGGCATTCTGAATCTGGGTGTCCAGAATATTGCCCTGTTACTCAAACATATGCACAAATTTTTGAATAGGATCAATCTGCCATGGGTATCCCTTATTTGGGATACATAATATCATGCTAGAGTGTGTCAGGGTACAGCCAGTTGTGGTTCTTTCTGGTGGAAGGATATATGCAAATTGCTAGATCATTTCGGCAACACAACATGGGTACAAATTAACTCTGGGGATTCAGCTCTATTTTGGTCTGATAAATGGAAGATTGGTGATTCTGTGGCCCCTCTACAATCAAGGTTTCCAAGGTTATTTTCTTATGTGAGAGACCCTTGGATAACAGTGTCTGAAGCCTTCCAATCATAGGATATTGCTCAGATGTTTCACCTACCTTTGTCTGGCATATCAAGAATATATGATAATCCAGAATCTGATGACCAACTGCAGTAGACATGTGGGTGCAAATGATATCTGGTATTGGCAAGGGACATGCAATGCTTTTAAACCCAAGTTGTTTTATTCTTTCATGCATTCTAACCTGTCTTTCAACTCTCTGCT